TTTTTTTTTTTTTGTTGAACACTATCATTTATAGATCTGTTCAGTAAAACCCTCACAAACGCTCTACTGTTTATGCAGGTACCAATAATCCTTTCAAAAATTCAATTACTACTGTTTTCTTCAACAATTACACCAATATGTTTACAAAAAATTACGGTCAACTCCCTCACGAAGAGCATTCGACCAGTACAGCAAACTGACACCAAATTGCAGATTTACAGTGTAAGAATTGTCATCTAGAGCAAATTTCAATGCATGTAAAAGTATATATAGGTTAACAACTTCAATCCTGGTTAGTTAAAATAAAGTAACACTAGAGAATTAAAAATACTAGTAACAATCATCTCTTAGTAAATTAACTAAAAAAACATGACTAACTTCTCACCAACTTAAGTTAAGTAATAAAAGAAAATCCTGAGCACACTCAATAATCTTCACTGCACATTCCAAAAAAACCAAAATTTCCACAGAAATACACAGATATTTCATCTATAAACGAAATTCATCCAGAAAATTAAATATTGCAGAGCAAAAGAACTTCATTTATTTATTACACAGAGGCCCACGAAGAATCTGAAGACCTATTCCAGCAGTATCGATTGCACGAAAAACTACCACTTTGGGTAACATTTTTTAAAATATAACATATTGCTACTTCAAAAAATCGTGTAAAATCTTACAAAACTTATTTTGGTCGAAAGACATGTCTGTCAAAAATTACTGTCGAAGTAACCGTCTATACAACGCTGCTTCCTGTCGCATATCATCTAAATCTCGTATTTTCTTACCTTTCACCGGATCATCGTGTTCCGCAAGTTCACCGTAAAAAGCATCCGGATTGTTATCAAAGTCGCCTTTGTTTCGAGGAACAATGTGAACATGAACGTGCTAAAAGCCACTTTTTGGAAACATAAAACATCGAGTAAAAAGCAGTAAAGCCGTTTTGCATCTCCCTACCGAAACAGTTTGACCTGCATCCGGTCCGTCCTGTACTGCAACACTTGTCGAGTTTGTTTTGTAGTGCTTTTCTAACATAGCCTGCACCTTTTTAGAAACATTGAATATGTCCGCTGTCTCACAATCCGTTAAATCAGTCAAACGAGTCGCGATTCTTCTAGGACTTACCAAAACGTCTAAAGCCTTCATTAAAAATGAAATCCATATTTTTAAAGAAGGATTCAATTTGGGCAGTCGAAAAATAGGAAAAGTTGAACCAGTAGAAAAAAAATTAAACCCAAAAAATCTTACGGCCCGGTAAAACTGGTCTGTGATTTACAAAGGCGAAAGAGTATGGAGTTCTAAAGAAAATTGTGTCCGCAGGAATCAAGTTGTTGCCAAAATATATCGCCTTTTCTTCATCTATAAAATGTCAAATCAAAACAGGACTCGTTACCAAAGCATTAACACTTTCATTAAAGGTATCAACTTTTTTTGAAAAGGAGTATGCAGACCAAAGTTAACTTCCACGTTCGTAATGATGGAGTAAAGATCTGAGCGACGATGTTCAAAGACGGGCTGGTTCCTGCGAACTTCATCAATGTACTCAGGTAAAATCTCTGCATAACACAAACCTAAATAAAAACTGTCAGAGTTCCATAGCCCCAATATCTTCAACTCCGCCTTACCAGTTGTTTCCGAACATTGCGCAATGATAGCTCCCCAAGGGTCAATGACCATAGCATGACCATAAGAGGAACGTTTTTCATTATGAACGCCAGACTGTGCAGCTGCAACTACATAGCACTGCGTTTCTATTGCTCGGGCGCGTAACAAAGTCTTTAACCAATATGATATTAAACAGGGGGCAGAACGAAGAATTGGAAGAGCTGAAGGGGTTACATTTCAGATCAAATTACCTCCCAGTGAGCAAGACCAGTATTCACAGTAAATGCAGCAGGATAGGTCAGAACCTGAGCACCACGCTGCCGACTCCACAATGCTACTTCTGGGAATCGAACATCATAACATATATTTAGCCCCATCAAACCTACAGGCGTAGTTATCGGTTCAACAAGCTACAACTTCGTATTTAGAAAAGTGAAATATGCTGGTTATTTTAAAATGCTAGGAAATTTTAGTTTTAAAAAACGATACCTCAGGACCTTTTGAAGAGAATTCGCTTTCCTTTAACCGCACTTTCCCAGGTATCTCAAGATCAAATATATGAAGTTTTCTGTATTTCCCCTGAGTTCTTCCGTTGCTGTCTATTATGAGGTGTGTATTAAACGGCAAATTCTTCCCTGACGGGTCCTAAAAACGTCTGGAATCTAATACCTTTATACTACTACTTTTAAAAAAGCATGAAAAAGCTGTTTCTGAAAAGAGCAAAATTCCCAAAAATACAGAAACAATGCGGTTACTGCTCAAAAAAAGATCGTTTACCTTTTCATGAAAGCCTCCCAAAGATAACCATAGACCAAGTTCTTTCGCTTTTTCACGGAACTTTGCTATATAAATACCATTCTCATCGTGAGCCATAGAAATTGACTCCTCACGATTGCGTCCAATGAAGTCAAAGCTTTCGGGGAAAAAAATCATCTTAAATCATCAAGTGTCTCTCGAGAAACAGCAAAAATTTAATAAC